CATGTTGTTACCATCCTTGATTTGTCTGATCAATTTACCATTTCTTCTTGCTAAGTCATAGTCAAGAAAGAATTTTGAATTAGTGTCACCTTCATCATTCCAAGTCGCCTTAGCTCTTTGGTTCACAAAGTAGCTAACCTGAACAAAGTAATATTAAGCTCATGAACTTTGGAACAAAGTAAAGCCAACTTGTCTGGGCTTAAGCATCCTTCTGATTCTTCTTCTAATTGCAATTTGAGAATTTCATCCTTCAACTCATCCTTTATCAGATTAAGATTTTTGCACTTGTTTCTTTTCCATAAATAGAGTGACTTAAGAGTTCTCTTGATTTTTCTATTTAAAACTTCAGCAACCTCACCGAAATCTTGCTTCTCCCATGAATTTGAAATAATCTTCCAAGTAGCTAGATATGATTTCCAAGTATCTTCAGACCTGAACACTCGAGGAAAAACACGCAGCAACTCCTCAAGTTTAAAAGCAATGGGATAATGGTTAGAAACCACCCTTGCTAAATGTCTAATTGAAGCAGAAGGAACTAGCTGAAGAGTCGTAGAATTCAGTAAGCATCTATCTAATCTTTCCCAAATCCTGGCAGCTCCTTGTTTATTGTTACACCAAGTGAAAATTGGACCAATAACACCTAAATCATGAAGATCAAGATTAGCCATAAAAAATTTCATCTCTTTCGGTCCTTTAGTCATACAAAAACATTTGCCATCCCACTTGTCCTCCTTAGAGAGGAGATAATTGAATTCACCTGCTACAATAGTGGGATCCCCACCAGACATATTCCTGCCAAGGCTCTCCCAAAGATCCCTTCTAACTTGAAAATCTTTATTACCATACTCCATGTCCACATGCCAACGCCCCTTGCTGGAAGTATCAAGGACCTCAAATACAAATTGAGCTAGCATGCTCTACCACCGTAAATAAAATAATATTTTTATTCCAGAGAACCAAAATGCCTCCAGAAATACCTTCGGCCGGCTGATGAAAAAATTCCCACTAAGCACTAATAAGTCTGTTAACATCTCTTCTATCTACACTAGATAACTTTGTTTCGGCTAACCCGACAAAAAACATAGCATTGTCTTTCACAATTTCCCTGAGATATAGAGAGGTTTCACACTTTTTTTCCCCTATACAAATCCAAAAAATCAAGGAAGTCATTTATTACATAATGGGGAAAGATCCCCACCTTTCTTCTTTGCCTTGCCTTCAACTTTCCTCTTTCTGGATATAGGTTCAATAGGAGCCAAGAATTTCAGCTGTAATTTGGGTTTCTATTTAGTAGAGATAAAAAATTCTTTATCAGCACTTACTCGGTTATTTTGGACAGCAATTCCATATTCTTTAGATATTACAATATCATAATCTTCAACAAGATTGGGTCCTTTCACATTAAAGTCATGTGCAGCAGGATCAAAAATGTTTTCATCAACAGGATCAAAAAATGTTTTCTTCAACAATAATGGTTCCATCAGTAGAATCATAAACATTTCCTTTAGCAGTAATACCGGAAACATCACAACAAGCAGTTACGGGATCCAGAACAGAATTAGAAATGCTAGTAAAATTAACAAGAAGATCATTAAAAGGAGATTCAACATGTTTAGATGAATCGGGAAAAGGATTAACTTTTGACATTTCAAAGATTGTATTTACATTGCTTACAGGTTTAGTCAAAATATTAAACTTGTTTGATAGACAAACATCAGAAGAAGACTTTTTATGAGAAGATTCCTCGTGGTAACCACTCTGAAACTATTCAATATGATTAGTATTAACATCCTGGACACTGAGTTTGCACTTATCAACAACAGTATCGTTGAAATTTTTAGGATGCTTGAAATTAGCTTCTTTAGTCTTGTTGCCCTGTCGGTCCCAGTTCTTTATGTGTTTGAACTTGACATGAATCCATGGGCCATATTCCTCATTATGCCGATGATGTAAAGCATCATTATCAGTGGCAAGATTCAACTCCCTTTTCTTTCCTTTAGCATTGTCATATTCAGATCATAAGGCAGGACATTCAGATTTAACATGTCCTATTTTTGCACAATGATAGCAAAAAGAAGTTAACTTCTCATATTCGACCTTCTAGAAGAATCTTCCACCAATACCATCAACCAAAACTCCCAAAGGCAACATGGATTCTAAATTGATACAAACACATATACGAGCAAATTCCTTCTTCCCCCATTTAAAAGAATTACCATCTAAGTACATTGGAGTTCCAATCCTTGAAGCAATCTTTGCAGTATTTACTTCATCCCAACAATGGAGCGGCAATAGTGGAAAACGAATCCAAACTAGAGCGGAAAGACCTTTAAGAGATAAAGCTGAAAAAAAGGGGAGAACATTTATCTATACTTGCAATGTGCACGCCAACATACATAGGGCCACCGTTAAGAACTTCTTCCATAGCCTCAAAAGATTTAAAGGAACAAAGAATCCAATTCAAACCCAAAGTAGTCAAATGAAATTTGCCGAATCTGTTCCATTGCCTCCGTAGTTCTGAACTACAGACCGAGAAAGGAATGTTCTTCCCAAGGACCTTCAGCACAACAGAATTATTCAAAATATGAGAATTAACAAGCTCTAATTCGGGATTAAGTTTCACAGCAACTTTGTCCGAAGACTTTTCAATTGAGTTGGTATCAAAATTAATTTTTATATGGTGAGGCTTCCGCCAAGCATTGATAAAGAATTTTTTCTGGTTGCTAATATCATCAATCAGGTGATCCACAATTTCACCAAATTGCAGAACATGTTTAATAGATTCATTGATAGGTAAATTAGGAAAAGAGAAATCAACCGAAAGGTTGTGCATAAGGGGTCCCTCGTTGTTTCGAACAAATTTATTAACTTTAAGGACCAGATTCGAGGATGTAGAAGCATCATTCTTCACAGGCATGATCTTATTACCTAAATCTTGCAAGGAAGACAGCTTCGGAGGTTCTGTAAGATTCTTACCTTTCCCTCAACATTCGGGAGTTGAATTCTATCATGGATAGCAATAGAGCTGTAGCCTTCCCTGATGATCAGAGGTTTAAGTCTTGTTCTTGAATCTCCATTAGAAATTCTTCTATCAAAAGAATCAAGTGCATTCTTGATAGAAGACAGAGAAGACACACAGGATGGATCAGAGGACGAAACAATGTCAAGAGGTGGTCGGAACTCTAACGCCGATCGGCGGCCAGACGCCGCCATAAATGGAGCGGATTACCCACGAAAGATTCGAAAAAAAACACTTTCTCTCTCTAGGAAATTCGCAGAGCTTCTCTTTCTTGGAAATTCGCAGAGCTTCTCTTTCTAGGAAATTCGCACAATATTTAAGGATCTATCACAACAATTGCCTTCTAACCTCTAGTCTTTCTCGCGACTCTACAAACAGGCCAATTATTTCTGATTGTTATCTTTATTTCGGTTTCTTAATCTTTAGTCCCCTTTTTTAAGCTGTCACCCGGCCCTAACCTTCTACTATTTTTTTTGTGCACTTATTTTATTCCATGAATTTTTAAATCCTTATATTTTGAAATAGCCCTTCCATTATTTACATATCCCTCTGTCTCACGCCTTAGGAATTGCATCGTTCTTAAAATTTTAACACATTTTCTTTTAATTTATCTTCTTAGTTTTTTATATTATATATGACAACTAAATCTGATTGAAGATGAATGCCATTTTGGGAAAATCAGTACTTTTATACGAAGATGATTGACTTCTATTATAATTTTTGTAGAATTACTTTGATAAACAGATATGTGTTTATACTGCTAAGTATTATTTTTTTTATTCACTTGCATCCTACAGCTCTTTCTATCGAATCTACTTTCTTAATGCAAGTTACGCTACCGGTATCTCAAGGATTTCTTGCTTCATTTTATAAAAAAGTTACTAATTAATCTCTATAGAATTTTTACTTCATTAATATATGGATATAAATATTTGTGTGAATAAAACAAATTGGATCACCTTTGCTTAATTCTTTCCTTGACCAAGACAATAATGCTTGATTTTATTCGTGTGAAGCACTATGCACATAACTAAGGTGTGTTCTTTGTAATTTTCTTATTGTATTATACTTATGCATTTTATTATTATCTCAGATTTATCTAATAGGCTAATAGAGGTACAGATGGGATATAACTTTTAGAACTAATACACAATCCTTAAAATGAAGAATTAAAAGAAAGTTCATTAAACTTTTAGTGCTTGGTGATGAAAATGTCGCAAATAGTTAGGTCGTCAAGTGTGCGAGATATAAGAATGCTAAGAAATTATTATATTAAAAATAAAAAGTGGGAGTAATAACTAACATTTTGAAGTGATAAGCTTGTCAAAATAGATTCAGAATTTTTTTTTTTTTTTAGATTCAGATTATTTGATCAAGGGATATAACTTTTAGAATTAGTACACAGTGGTTTGAATGAAGAATTAAAACAAAGTTCATTAAATTAGAAGTAGCGCTTGGTGATAAAAAAGTCACAACTTTTTAGGTCAAGTGTGAGAGAAATGACAATGTTGAGAAATGATTATACTAAAAAATAGTTGGAGTAATAACTAATTTTGAAGTGATAAGCTAGTAGAAAATAGATTCAGAGGATTTGAGCATGTACAATAGAAGGGTAAATCACACTTCAAATATTGGTGGATAAAGTTGATGTGGAATTATTAGGAAGGAAACTGTGGGTACCATAGCTAATGTAGCTACAAGCTGAACAAAAATAATTTTGTAAAATAGAGTCGGAGAGAATAACTAAAAGCTCCGTCACATGTTTTTCACCTTGCATTTCTTTCAATCCTATATTTCCCTTTCTCTAGTTGCTTTAAACTCTTGGAGAAGCATCAAGACAACTTAGACTTCATTTGGGACAGTTTTCTTATTGCTTCTTAAAACTGTTTTCTAGTATAAAAAAAAATTAATTTTTATACTAAAAAGCTGTTTTAAGAAGTAGTAAGAATGCCGTCCCAAACGAAGCCTTAATATACAAATTTTATCTTTGCTGGTTGCTTCTGCTGTATACTGACAACTGATCTCGCACATCAATTTGATTTGGCGTAGTATTTTTCAAGGCCTCTGGTTTCTTGTAATGCTCTCTATACTTTTGAAGATACCTTTCAGTAGCAATAGCATATTCATCTAGCCCAAGTGATTTCATGGCATGACATACGTCATCTCCACAAAGAGTTTGTCTGTTCTCCATTCGACACTTAACAGAAGCTTCCCCAGTTATAAAGCATATGAACTCTGATGCGCAATCTTGCATGGTTTCCTTTGCTTCTTTTGAAATCTTAGCATTTGGTGGTAGAGCTACCTTCATAATTCTTCCTATGTTTGCCGTGGGTAGTAGAAAATCCTGCACATTACTGCGCCTTTTAACTTTAGCTGGCATCGTAATATTGGACTCCTGGATTTCATTCATTTTTTTCCTGGAAGAAGTAGAGACAAAAATGACCGAATTTTGATGCATATCGCAAGGATTACAATGAAAATATATATATATATATATATATATATGGCTGCAGAATATGTTTATGAAGTCATGGTTTTCATGAACTTTTTTTCCCTGGAAAACTATGGGTTGATCAAACTTCCATTCATTTCTCCATATAACTATTAAAATTGTTGCGGAAAAGGTTTACGAGTCAGAGTTTATATGTTTTTACCTGGTAAGAGAAGAGCTTAAGCTGATCAAATATTGATGAATTTCACCATGAATTGACATGTACATATATAGCTGAATATCCGAACGTCGTACGTATTAGTCATGGCTGACGGCTTGCTACTTGTTTATTTGACAGCAGCAAGAAGTTTTGCATCATTCAACGTGTCATATTCATGTACTACCAAATATTGAATTATATATTGATATAAGCCTAACAATGTTCGGTATGCCGGTTCGTCATTCATAGTTCTTATTTGCTCCACTAGTCTAAAGCGTTTAGATTGCTACAATCATATGATTTGAAAAATTATTTCGAGCTTTCGGTTTCGCTAATATAATTTTAACCATATATTTGCTGGACAGTTGGACATGCTAATGCGCTTACGCTATTACTCGTTTGTTTATGATAAGGCAGTCGATCTTATCCGAACCTTTTTTTTTTTTTTGGGAAAAATAAGGGCTTACATGCCCAATTTCATTTTAAATAATGAAAGGTTATAAAGTAAATACAAAAAATTTGTAAGAAAAACAAAGTAAAACTTACAAGATCAAAGAAGAAAAATTATAATAAACCCAAAAATTTCTTTTTTTTTTAATTAAAACTCACAGAGGGGCTTACACATTAATTAATAAAAATGATTACAAGGTCTTTAAGAGAGACCATCAGCTCACTAATGCTCAAACGAGCTACGAGACAAAGCAAAAGAAAACCTATTTGCCGATAGTCTCCACTAAGCCAGAGTACAAGACAATCTAGTAACATTCTAAGATGCTATAGTCAAGCATCCAAAAAAGAAAGATATAAATATGAAAATGAGGCACAATCTTTCTACAAAAAATCTTGATGATAGTCATAAGCAACTCCATCTGAAAATCAAAGAGGCTGCAAAACAAAAAACTATAGCACAAAAAAGTATAGGTGAAACAGAAAGATTTACCTAAATTTAAGGCAGAACAAAAGTAAGTATAGCAAATTCTGCATAATAACAAGTGATCTATGCCCTGCCACCATAGTAAACCAAATAAAGGATGTACACTACAAGAAAATAAGGAATTACCGATGATTTTTTCCAGCGGTTCATATTATGTTTCAGGCGGTTTCATAAAATACTGGTGGTTAGTAATGTTGAAACTTGTTAATTATGAATTAGTTTGTTAGACCTAAGCTTATGTTCCCGCAGCTAACCAAGAGGGGGGTCAATTGGTATTTAAAAATTTTCCTCTTATATTTTAAACCGATAAAAATCTTATAATGAAATTTTCTGAAAAAGATTTTTCAACCACAGATCAACAGAAAACAATAAAGTAAAAAAGCATCAGAAAATAAAAAGACCTCCTACTGTTTACACTCTCAAAGTGTAGGCAGAGAACATTCCCGCTGTTCACACTCTCCAAGTGTAGGCAGAGAACCCTTCATCCTTTCACAGTTCTCCAAGTGTAGGCAGAGAACCTTCTGTTGTTCACACTCCTTGAGTGTCGGCAGAGAACTAGATCTCCTTGAAAGATCTTCTCACGAGAAATCTAGAAGGATAAGAGAAAATAGTGAAGTAACCACAATTCACAAATGGAGATTCTTACCTTTGAATAGCAAGTGAACCCTTCCTTTTATTTGGTCTGATGAATGTACGCAACTCTACGTTCGACCGCTAGTAGAATCGCGCCACGCGTTTTCATTATTTAACGCGCGCCCCGACAACCCGACCCGAAACGGACCCAAGATAGCTCGGTATTGCTCGATATTGCTAGGTATTGGTCAATTTTGCTCGGCAATAACCAATATCGAGCAATACCGAGCAAATACCTAGAAATACCGAGCAAGTACCGAGTTGTACCGAGTTTTTTCTAGCAATACCGAGCAAATACCTAGCAATACCGAGCAAATCCCTAGCAATACCGAGCAAATCCTGAGCGGTAAAAAACTTGGTACAACTCGGTATTTGCATGGTATTGGTCTTCACAAAGCGGTATTTCTCATTTTTGCAAAGCAATACCTAGCAAATACCAAGCAAATACCGAGCAATACCGAGAAAATCACGAACATAGCATTCCTGGGTTCCGCTCCGGGTCAAGTTGTCTGGCCGCGCGATAAAGAGTAAGAGCACGTGGCGACATCTTATTGGCGGCTAAACGTAGCTCTACGTCCGGTCAGAGGACGTAATAATTATTCCCTTCAAACACTTTCTTTCACTCTCTCCTTCAATCTCCCTTTAGTTTTCACAAAGATCAATGGATAAAAAGATCTCAAGACAGTCTAAAGTGGACCTTTTATATGAAAGACTCAAAAAAATGTCCAAAGACAGCAAAATTTCAATTCTGTGCATCCTCGATCATCCCGTACGATCGATTTTCATACGTACGAATAGTGTTAAAACTGTTGCGTACGAACTCAATGTGCATTGGTACAAAATTCATTCGTACCCGATCATCATCCAGTACGAACATAGTTCGTCCAGTATGAACAGCTATTTCAAAGGTTCGTTGGGATGAAAAAATAAGTTGAATCACAAGTTCAAAGAATAGAGAACATCGTCCAAAGACAAAGGTGTCGATTCGTCTGGACGAATTGAATAAACTGAAAATCAAGAGGACATCGTCCAGGGATGAATGGGACAATTCATCTGGATGAACAATTCAAACTAAAAATCCAGAGGACATCGTCCAGGGGTGAATGGGACTATTCATCTGGACGAACAGTTCAAATTGAAAATCCAGAGGACATTGTCCAGGGACGAATGGGACTATTCATCGGGACGAACAGCACTTAGAAAAATTTTTGCTTACCCTCTATTCGTTCCATTTGCTCCTAGAGGTGTATAATTAATCTGATCGTTTTGTATTAACATAGTTAGTCCTGTACGGTCAATATTAAAAATTATGAATTTTAAAGTTCTCTCCCAGTGTGTGTGTGATGAGTTACTTAACTACAATTACACTCTCTCCGACTCAAGTAAAACAAATACAATCTCCAAGTTACAAGCAATAACAAGCAGATCTTTGATTTGAAGTCTTCAGTAATCTGGAGTATGATTTCCCTATAATGTTAGTACACACAAGAGCCAAAAAATAATTCTTCCAAAATGTTTTAGGAGAAAGTATTACTCAAAATAATAATATTTGAAATCATCAAAATATATAAGTTGCAAAAATGTGAAGCATGCAAAGCTAAGTAGCAACTCTCTCAACAAACTCCCCTTTTTTATGATGGCAAAACAATTATTGTTTGTATAAATTTTAAATTCTTAAGTTTCTCCTAAACTCCCCCTTAATGAATAAACACATGAGAATAAGGGGATTATATATTGAACTAATCCTAATTTTTTATTTTAAAATATTTACACACTCAAAAACACACAACAACAATCACATTTAAACACAAAGAAGACAATAAAAAATATGAACACAAAAATACGAATACGAATATGAACAATATGTTAAAGACACTTTAAATAATATTTCTCCCCCTTTTTGACAACAGCAAAAAGAGAAAAAGAAAAAGAACAAATACAGAAATATAAGAAGTCATATGAAGAGCCTTTAATAATTGATTCTGTAAAGAGGTTGAGTAACATTTGCAAATAAAATTAAATATCATTAGAGAAATAGAAAGATTCATATGATTTAAGTTGAGATATAATATAGACAAGAAAAGAAATATAAAAAATATGAATCAATTTAGACAGTTCAGGTGTAGGTACAGGTGTAGCTCTTCTCCTATCCTCCTCAGAGTCACTATTAAGCACGTGTGGATATCTATAAAAGATTGCTCGGAATGATCCATCATTGTTGTAGATAGGCTCTTCTAGATTTTGAACTGGATAGACTAGTTCATATTTCTTCTCCAAAATGTAGGTCACAAGATGTCCTAAGGCTATATTTTTCTTTCTCTTATGTGAGACATGGCTAATCCCAGAAAGTTCATATATGTAGTCAATGATCAGTTGGGCTTCATCTATTGGTTGGCTTGTCATGATCAAACAAGTCACTTTGGAAAGAAGAGGGGTAATATTTACTCGATCCCTAACTTTAGGAATAATGGAGCTTCGAAGATCATGTTGAATGGTTCGAGCATTATGATTAAGAGTGTACACCTTAGGTAAATGAACTTCTTTTCCAAACCCTCTAATAACCTCATTTATCGCAGTCCAGTCAAAGTTAGAGGAAGAAATCAAAGTATGGGCTCTAATCCCTTGAGTCCTTAAGTTCAAAAATATTAATTCCCAAATCCGCATTTTTTATCTCTACTTTCTTCTTAAAAACATTCAATCTAATCATAGTTTGGTCATAGTTAAAAAATATATTTGCAAGGAAGTAGTGGAAAGTTTTCTTGTTGTGGAGGTGGACTAGACTCAGAATAAATGCAAACTGTGTAGAAGCAAAAAGTTCCATAATTTGAAAAGTTATTTGTTCTTGAAGAAGGACTCTAGAGGGGGTGATCTTGGGAGATACAAACCTAGGGAAGGACTCCTCATTTGCTTTTGACAGAAATTTTCTCCAAGGTTTTTAGAGGGGGGTCCCTTAGCAAGTACCTTTTGCTTGTCTCTTTTGCTTGAACTAGCCATGGACAAGATCAAGAAGATTTGGAGGAATGAAAGAGTTTTTGAAGTCAATGAGATTTGAGTTCAAAACCTTTCAATTTAATGAAAAAAATGAATTTTCATACGAAAAAAAATTATTTCATCTAGGATGAATTTGGGTTCATATGTATGAAATAAATTTCATATGTACGAACGAATGTATCCAAAAATGAAACAACTTTTCGTAAACATGCAAGTTACGAGGCATCCTTTCATACAAACTTTTGACCA